TGTCTCTAAAAAAAAATTTGTTCCTTGAGAAAATTGCTACTGAATTTAATTCAGCAGACATAGGGACAAAGGTATTACCTTTAAACAAGTTTAAAACGTGTTTACAAAGGTTGAATGTTGATACTAAGTAATTTTTGTAGTGTTTGCAAGTTATATACTTGGGGCCAACTGGAAGTGCTGGGAAGTTTATGTTTTTATGGGATATCAATTTTTGTAGAATTTGTACTATAGGCTTCTTGTATTACCATTGGCATTAAGGTGGAGATTGTTGGGCTGTGATGCCAGTCCAATCCATTTTTAGGCAATGATAAGATAAATGGCCTTAGGACAAAGTACTAAACCTTGCCCAATAACGTTATCTGAGATGACCCACCAACCATGACTCGATATTCAGCCACATTTTATGTGAGTTGCTCTGGACCATTGGATGAAGATACAGATCTACGGTTGATTGTGTGTTACTATAAATACGGGTCTTTAACCCTGATTTGAGAGACTTCTCCATTCTCTCCTTTCTCCAGCCATCTGGAACCTTCTGAGTTTCTTTGTTCATCTTCTATTTGTTAGTCGATCATCTTCTTTTAGTGAGATTTGAAATCTTAGTGTTTTCTCTGTGTGAGTAAACCAAAATCTGTGATTATAGTCCAAATCTGTCCATGAAGCAACCCCACGTTGGGGACTTGTGAGGGTTTTTGGTTTGAGTTTGGGTCTCTTTGATGATATAGAAGGGTACAAGGATCTGAGCTTAAATCGGTCACTATTCTTGATGTCCAGTGGTATTTTGTAGAGATTTGAAAGTGTATATTCCTAGATCTGTAATTTTCTTTTTGAGTGCTGTACATAATAGTTTCCTTAATATTGTGGAGTGCTATCAAATTGTCTCCACGGAACACGGGGTACGTTTCCAGTTGCAGGTAGCATGTTAAAAGAAAAACTATGAGAGAAGTTTTCTCAACTACCTCTTGCTGGCAGTTTAATGTTGAACTGCCATTAAATATGGACTATCAGATTGCAAGTTGGTTTGGTTTGTTTCCCTCTAAAGCCTGTTGGAAAAACAGATTAGTGAAGAACTAAATCTTTAGTTTTCTATTACATTAGTTTTATTGAGTTAAAATGTTAAATAGTAGTTTCTTTATTTCTTACAATGGTTTTCTTGGATCTGCAGCTCAAGTCTCTATGTGGGTGCATAGGTCTAGCATAGGGGTGGAAGGTAGATCTTAATAAATTTGATATTTTAAGATACATTCTAGGAGGAAATTGGAGTTTAAAATGTTTAAATAAACAAGCAATCCGTTTAAAACTCAAAAAAGCAATCCAATTTCAAAATTTATGTTATCAAATGAGCCACCTACATACTAAGGTTAAAGCTCACATTGGCTAAATATGACAGTGGTAACCAAGTAACCAATATATAAGAGGTTAGACGAGTCAAGTCCTCTCACCGGATCATATACATGTTTACAGAAAATTGTGTCCTAGGGCTCAAAACAAGGACTATTTATCTTCTGCTCACTTTTTTCACCTCTCGTTTCGTAGGACCGATCCCTCATTTTTTTTTTCAAAATCAAAATTTTAACTCTCCCAAATAAATATGTGTTAGGTTTTGTACCTCGACTATATTTATATTGATGCTTGAATTGGTTGACTAACAAATTAATGGCATGTATATTTTTCAAAATTATAGTCAAGGGCGAACCCAGAATTATACTTCAGTAGGGACGAGACGGAAAATTAGCTAAAACAAATTGTGAAAAAAAAAACCAAAAAAAATATGGGAATTTAAATTTAACAAGGTTGAATTGAAGGTTTTTGTAAATTTAGTGGGGGTGGCCGACCGCACTCGTCCCTCGGTAGGTCCGCACCTAATTATAGTCATCCATATCAAATTTGACATATCATATTAATTTAACAATGGTAGTCATGATGATTCATGGTGGAAATTATACATATTTGAATCTAGGAATCAAAGAGAATGATCTATGATGAAAACTCTGCACGCTGGAAACAAAAAAATTCACACTTCTAGAAACATCAAGAGAAATGTGCATGAAATTACTTTCAAGTTGCAATATAGAAACATCACATTTGATTCACTCACAAACTTTATACGCATAAATATTTTTGGAAATACTTTTATTACGGTCTTCTATTCTATTTCTTTAAATTGTGCTCCCATTCTCGAGTAGTCCATCTCCATCTTCCATTTTGGCTTCCAAATTCATCTTTCCTCATGTCACCTTTTCATGGGTTGTGTTAAATGGGAAGAGTATAGTCGAGTGGCTCGCCCCGTAGGGCTCGGTCTCGTACAGCAATAGTGTGGTTCATCTCATCCATTGGTGACAAGTTGAATGGCTTGCACATTTTTTTTTATTGTTTTTAATTCTTATTTATTTATTTTACTGAAATTACATATTTCACTCATTATGACAAGTCGTTCGCTAGTTGAACAACTCACGAGAATTTTGATGTTCAATTTGCAATTGTGACTCGCCTCACGTGCTGTCGACTCACCTCACTTGACATTCATACCGTTTCCTACTTTTTGAAAAAGGTTTAAAAATACAGTATATAGAATTGAGGTCTATATATTCAATAATTCTATTTGTACATAATGATGAAATGAAAGAGAAAGAAGAGAAAAAAAGAGATAAAAAGACAGAAATTAATTATTATAAATTTTCTCTCTTTTTCATAGCATCATTATGTACTCTAGTACATTATGTACAAATAGAATTACTTTTCTCTCCCTATGAGAAATAATTGGATAGGACGATCACAACGTCCTACATGTTGCACCCATCCAATTAGGAGTCGCCACTTCATCAAATAGTGAGGTGAGGCCACTTCGGGACTTGAGGTAGAAGAGAGAGAAACTCAAGTCACAAAGTGACTTTTCATTGGACAGGTCGCACCTCAATCGTCCTATCCAAGTATCTCTCCCGTATTTAGGACTTGTTTGAGTCCTAATAAATTGGAAAAATACATTTTGAAATAGTAAATTGATAGAAAATGTGTGGTTAAAAAATAAGAAGTTTTTTTTTTTTTTATTATGAACATAATATTATTTTATTAAAAAAAAAGAGAGATAAAAATGTATTTGGGAAAAATGGAAATCACACAAGGCCTTAATTGGACGGGAATCAACTTGATTTGGAGAGGATTGAAAAAAAAAATTTATAATAAAGATTTTTTAAACTACCTATTGAAATTAATAATTTTTCTTTATTTTTCAAAAAGAATAAATTTTCGACTGGGAGTCACTATTTACATTCATAATTATTATATATTCATCACACTCTATATCTATCTCTATTAAAATTTAAAAAAATTACTAGTTCCATCAACTTCACATTGCAATTTTGCCCTTATTAAAATTCATTCATTTAAACACTATAATTTCACACAAATTTTATATTTTCATCACACTCTAAATACATCCCTAATACAATTTCAAAAATTTTAAAAACCACTATATTCATCTCTATTACGTATAACATCAACATTATTTCAATAACAAATTCTACAGTACAACTATTATAAGATGGGATTATATGAATCATAAACCCCTATAATCATTGCCACTCTCAATGTGATATGGACTCCATACATAAAATTATACAATCCATTTATGAAAAATTAGCAGATTTTTTTGAAAGAAGTAATTAGCATATTTTAAACTGTATATAATAAAAAAAATTAAAATAAAAGTCAATTGAAGGTAAATAGTAGAATGATTTAGTCAATAATATTTTAGAAGTTTGTGATGATTAGAGAGAATTTTGTGAATATAAAATGAAAGGGTTAGAGATATAGAAATGGTAATATTATTGTCTAATTTCTATTTTTTATTTTCTATTGACTTTTATTTTATTATGCACAGTTTAAAATCCGTTAATTATTATTATTTTTAAAAAAAATTATGCTAATTTTCCATAAAATGTGAATATGATATTTTATAGTTATTAGAATTTTAGTTAAACACAAATTCCAAAAGAATATAAAAATGTGTAAAAAAGCTTAATAAGAATAAATATTAGTGGATAAATTTATAATGATATAATTTTATATATATTTAAATTTACATGCGATTAAAAATATAATATAATTATTTTTAAAGGTGAATATATCCATCTACAATATATTAAGTATAACATCAATGGAAAATAATTTTTTGAACGATTCTAGCCTTACTATAATTCAATTATTATAATAATATCTTACTTTCATTTTTCAATATGTATTTAATTAATTAATTAAATTATTTAGTTACCATCAATATACATGTACATTTGACATTCATTTCACCCGTGTACTTTCATTAATGTATGAATTACCAGTTATTAATTCTCAATTAATTAAAATTCACATTCATTTAATTAATATTCATCTTCATTTATGCATTTCAATGTCATTAATTATAACTTAATTAAAATTTCACATTCAAGAATGTATTTCATTATTCAAGTCAATATATGCTAATTAACATCAAGCTTTACTTTAATTAGAAATTGAATAAATAATTTAACATTCATTGTTATGTATGTATTCCCTTATATTAATTTTAAGTTAATTAATAACGGCTTATGCTGTGTGTACACAATGATGTACACACAACCTTACACCCCCCTCACATTGAGGGGGTCCACATGTAATATGATATTCGTGGACCCCCTCCATGTAAAGGGGGTGTAAGGCTGCGTACACAGCATTTTCCATTAATAACAATCATACATATACAAATAATAACATGCTACGCACTTTCAACGTTCACTTTATATATATATATATAAGTTAAAACCTGCCCTCGAGGCATAGTCTAGTGGTACAAAGGACAAGAGTAAGATCATTTCACGTCTTGCTGACAGTCGTAGTGTAAAGTTCGATTCCGAAAACATGAAATTGGACTCTTTATAGACACAATATACAGACAACTCTTGTTCCCTAATCTGCTAAGACACATTTCGCGATTTACCTCAAAACTTTAACGCTAAGTTAAAACCTCACACTCTGCGCACTGAACGTCTGAACATTGCGGCTACGGTTTAACGAAACCCTACTTTCTCTTTCCTTTTTCTATCCTCTTTTAATGTTCATAGATCTCTTATTTTTGGATAGTAATAATGGTTAAATAGTTCAGTTAAGGGTTAATTTTTCTGACATACGCGAAAGCTAGGGTTTTGATTTGGAATGGCGACACTGAATCCGTTTGATTTGCTGGGGGACGATGATTCGGAAGACCCGTCGCAGCTGATTCAGAAGATTGAGCCGAAGAAAGCAACACTGGCTCCCGCGGCTAAGCAACAGGCGCAGCAGCCGAATAAGCCGGCTTCCGCTAAACTCCCGTCCAAGCCTCTCCCACCAGCTCAGGCTGGTGAGCTCTCTCTCTCTCTCTCTCTGCTAGCGGCGTGTGTGAGTATTTGTTTTTGTGAATGTATGAATTGTCGCTATTATATGTTTTGGAAAATTTCCCTTTTCTATCGAGTATTTGAATATTTGAATTCTCGAATTTTCAAAGTGCAAACAATAAAAAAATACTAAAAGAAAAAATCGAAGAAACCGATGAATATAAGAAATTCTGCTTCTCTATTTTGTGCTGTACGGGGGCGGTGAATGTGGAAATTAACACCCTTTTTAACTTTTGTCTATGGCGCAAGCACGATAGAGCTTTGGTTACAGATTTTTTTTTTGCTCCGTACAATAAACTGCAGTCCTACTAATATGACAATTCTTCATAGTTTCTGAATTTAACGAATGATTCCACGGCAATATTGGGGCAGTGATAGGATCTTTTTCTTAACATTCTTTTAATGAAACAGGCAAGTCTTTTACAAGGATGTGACGCTAACAATAAAAAATAATTAGCAACATGCAATGAACAGTAAAAATTTCTAATTTGAAAGTATATGTGCCAATTTTCAAATTTATATCATCTTGAACATTAAAAAGTCTTTTTCTCATGGCAATGATTTCTAGCCATTCTATTTTTGTTCAGTAGATTAAATTTCAGATCTATTTTTACTGAAAACAAAGACAGAAAAAATTGAATACAATTCCAGAATTATTAACGGTTTTGGTATTTGCTTAAAAGTGAATTTTTGTTTATTTTGGCTTAATATCTGCCATAATACATCTGTCATGTTATCAATTCCCATTTTATAGCTAACTCAGTTTTTGATAGTTTAGGCTTAAATGTGAATTGTATTTTTTATTTGTTTGTTCATTTATTTATTTTTTCAGGTTAAGATTCTGTTATTATGTAGTTATTAATCCTCGGAATAGATGGCACCTCACATACCCAGTTCAAGTGACTACCATCCAACACATCTCTTTGTGCATGTTAATTTTCTTTATTAAAAAGATTCTGAAGTCCATACTGTTTCCCCTCTTTTATGAAATAACTCAATTGATGATGAGGGGTTTTCTAATTCTCATTGAGTTGGTGTCCATCAAATTATAACTGTTCGTGAAGTTGTTAACAAGGATTAATCCTAGTAAAGAAACGATCCTGCACTGCTTATGCTCTGTTTTTCATGCAAAGGTGCCTTTTTAAAAATATGCTTCTATATAAATGATTGGTTTTTCAACCTTATTTATCTGGAAAACACGTATTTTTATTTTTTTTTATTTTTTTTGGGGGTATATATGTTATATTGGTTATCCCATTATATAGGAAGGTCTTTTAGGTATTGAGTATTAATGATATTGATAATAATCACCATCTACGTAGGGTAATGTAATTTTATTTTATTTTCATGCATGACCATTATTTCCCCTTTTTTTTTTCTTCGTTCGTTCGTTCGTTTGTGTTGATTCCCTGTGAAGGCCTGCAACTCAGTCTGCAAGAAGGAAAAATGTGGTAATATGAGATATAGAATCTTAGACAAAGGTTTGACAATTAAAGTGTATTCACATCAAACATATTTATTTTGTTTGTGTTCACATGGAAGTATTGCACTGTGAAAGAGCATTTTGTTGTATTTTGATTAGAAACAAAGGTTGATAACTAGTGCATAAATGCATATTCTTTATGTTTTCGAGGCTTGTGCCATGGCTAGGTCATCCTGCTATTCTCTCAAGTTCTTTATCAATGGGTATGCTAACTTAGTTTCACTAGTTTTTGAGTGCGTGAAGACTTTTATGCCTGTATGGTAGCATTTATTGCTGTGCAATTGTTCATTTGAGTAGTCAGGGAGGGAAAATCTGAATTTGCAAGAGGAGGCCGCGGTGGTAGACGTGAATATGGGCATGGACGTACTGGTGGTAGTGGGTATAACAGAGAATCAAGCAACAGTGAGAATTCATACAAAAACAGGGATTTTTCTGGTGGAATAGTTGCAAACGAAGGGCCTGATACAGGAAAATCTTCCGAGAGGAGTGGCGGTGGCTTTGGCGGTCCTCGTGATCCTTTTCGTGGTGGTCGTCGAGGTGGTTTGAGAAACAGCTATGTTGGGGAAGGGGAACAGGAACGGGAACGGGAACGGCCTCGAAGGGTGTTTGATCGCCATGATGGATCTGGTCATGGGTATATATCCTATCTGTTTGCTAAATCTTTGTGTTATGTTTCATTTTTGTGATTCTTCAACTTTCAACATCTATTTTAAATTGCAAACTCAATTTTTATGCAGAAATGGTATAAAACGTGAAGGATCTGGCCAAGGGAACTGGGGAACTCAGACTGATGAACTCACTCGGTCAGTATTTCCTTGTTGCCTCCAGCCATAAGACTATTAATATGATGACTTGTTCTCTGTTTCACGTGTTTTTCTTTGATCTGTCTGTGCTTGTTAATACAGTGTTTCCTCCATTACCTTTTCTTATTTAGAGTCACCGAAGAAGTTAATGAAGGTGAGAAAAATCTTAACGTTGAGAAGCCTGCTGTAGAGGATGATGCAGCGAATGGGAACACAGAAACTCCTGCAAAAGAAGTTGAGGAGAAGGATCCTGAGAATAAGGTGAAGTAATTCACACATTAATCTTGATTCAATTATTTAAATGGCAGTTTCTACTTTCGACTTCTTTCATGGGCTACCATTTAATCGTTCATCATTTAGAAATCTTTGATGCTGATAAAGGGTCCTAGATATGTTGCAGCCAAACACACAATTAGCCTTCTTAGTTACCTCCGGTACAAACTTTTTGCAATTTAAATGAGGAACTCAGTGGCAGGCAGATTAAGAATGTCTCAAAACATAGCATATGCATTTGATCAGTGTCCAGGCGATTGAGTCCATCACATGCATCTCTTTTTGTTTTTGGAACTAACTGTTTTGAAAATTCAGGAGATGACACTAGAAGAGTATGAGAAGGTTCTGGAAGAGAAAAGGAAGGCTCTTCAGTCTCCTAAAATTGAGGAAAGGAAAGTTGACGTGAAAGTGTTTGAATCCATGCAACAACTTGCGAACAAGAAAAGCAGTGATGATATATTCATCAAATTGGTGAATCCATTGACTCCCCGCACAATTTACTTTTGCTTAATCATTTCATAATTTATCTTTCCACGTGCTTCAAGCACTGATGCGTTCATCCTCATTTTTATTGCATCCTGCAGGGATCTGACAAGGATAAGAGGAAAGAGTTAGCTGACAAAGAAGAGAGAGCTAAGAAGGTAACTATTGTCCATATATACTTTCTCCACATAGAGGTGTGAGTCGCTGTGTGTGGTCAGGGAATATACTGCATATATAAATTGTGTTGCTTAAATCAGTAGTGTTACAAAAATTCATAGTAGTCAGTTTGAATTTGATTGTTATCTATTCAGGAGTCCATGTCTGGCCAAGCTTAAAAGTTTACCTCAAGTAAATTTACTTCGAAATAAAATCTAAGTTTTAACATAAATATAAACAACTTTTCTCGGTGACAGTTATAAATAAGAAAGCTAATTGTATTAATAGTATAGCATAAACAGAAGAGTTGCCACTGATATGGGTAATTTTATTTCACTTTTTAAGGAAAAAGTACGTTCTTTGAACCTGTTTTACCTGAAAGTAGCTTGGTCGTATTTTAGGCTTTTAGCCCAACTTGTGCATGAGATATTGCTTTCTATTGAGAGAAGTGAGTGGGAACGGAAAAGTTTTGACATAACATTTTCTATTTGGATGGTCAGTCTGTCAGCATCAACGAATTCTTGAAGGTTGCTGAGGGTGAGAGTTACTATAGTCATGGTGGTCGGGGGCGGGGCCGTGGACGTGGGCGTGGTTCCCAAGGAGGTTACAGTGGAAGTAGTCATATACAAGCACCTTCAATCGAAGACCCAGGCCACTTCCCTACATTGAGTGCCAAATGAGGTGTCCTCTTACTATTTTATCTCAAATTCTCCCAGTGTGGCAGGATTAACTAGAATAATGGTGTTTTTATATAAAATGGTTCCTAAAGTTTATCATTAAATGTATATCTTTTCATGAGAACAAAAACCCCCCCCCCCCCCCCCCCAAAATGAAGAAATCCAAACCCCCCCCCCCCCCCCCCCAAAAAATTAAAAAAAAGAAAATGTTTTTTTCCATAATATCTTGCATCTTATTGGGGGCATTCGAGCAATTAATGATGTCTGGATGTTTATTACTCTTTTTTAATTTGAATGTCGAATTTTTTGTTTGTTTAGCTTCACAATTTTTCCAGTCGTTTCTTCATATATGGAAAAAAAAAACTTTTGTAAAATTTGAGGTAGACGTCATAAACTACAAATTATCTCGTCTTCAGTGGCATCCCTCTTTTGTAAAATTTATTGACTGAAAATATATTCGTCAAAAATTAACCATTGCATCATGAGTGACCCAGACTATCGGAGATCGATCATGTTGTTTCCAAGGTTTTAGCCGTCATAAACTACAAATTTTAGCCTCATTGTAAGCACTTTTCTTACAAAATTAAATGAAGAAACAACCCCCCCATCCTCCCCCCCAAACTTGATTTTTTTCAAATACAATTTGTCTATGTAATATTAACTTAAAACTGACTACTTCTATGTTTTATTTAACAATATTTTTGAATAAAATAAGTTTATTATTCCCTTCATCTCAATTATATAGGCTTGTTTCGTTTTTCACACGAACTAAGAAATCTTCTTTAATTGCATTGGAAAATTAATTTTTGCAAAGATTTTTCCTAATTTACTCCCATTTAATTTTTTGTATGTAGTAGTAAATTATGATTGGAATTAATAAAAAACTTGAATGACTTAATTTGAAAAAGAAGAAACGAGAGTTGTTCCATATTTTTCAGAAGTAGGAAATGTGTGTATTTAGATGATTTCAAGAAATTAACATATTAAGTAGGGAAAATTGAATAAGGATATATTGGTAAAGGAACAAAATAAAATATTCTAAATTAGAAGACAGATTTATATATTTGGGACAAGAGAAAAAGGAAATCCACCCTATATAATTGGGATGAAGAGAATATTGTTTCAAGGAACACTCTGTATCATTTGTAATAGGCGCGGCCCACGAAGCACAAGTTAAAACGCCGGATCATATGAATCTCGATGATCAGTGTTCAACAATTAATGGGTTCGCTCACAGCGTGTAGGAAGTAAGTAAAGCAGACTACTTTATTTTTACGTATTTATTGATAAATTTGGTTTCATTTTTTTTCCCTAGTTCTTGATTTTTTAAATACAGTGCTGTCTATTTTTATTTTTTTTTACCAGATTTTATTCTATTTTAATATGTTTGAATAAGTTGAGAATTCAAAATACCATTTTTGAATCTTGATTAACCAAAATCAAATTAATTGAAAGGATGGGGAACACAATCCTAAATTCTTTCAAGAAACAAAATTTAAAAATAACATGTTGAAATTAAGCTTTAAGCTCTTGTTTGATCCCATTATTTTAAAATATATTTTTCTCTCTTTTTCTTAACTGCATATTCTTCAATAAAAAAAATATATTACGTGCAAACCAAATTTTTTATTTTTTATTTTCCAACCACACATTCTCTATCAAAAAGTAGTTTGAGAATTTATAAACCTGAGCCGAACATTTGAAAAGTTCAAATGAGTACATAACTTAATCGTTAGCTAGCACCCATCCATATTCTCTCATAATTAGCAGAGTTTCAAGGGTGCATAACAAGCTTTGGTAAAGAATAGATCCATAACGTACTAATTTAACTTAACAATCACTACCAAATTGTATACAAATTTTTATTTTCAATTGCACAAAATATCATCCAAATTATTGGAAAATTAAGGAGTATTTTTTGCATTATTCCAACGACACGAAAATGAGGGCTCAAAAAGGGTTCTATAAAAATCGAAATATAAAACAAATTGGTCAAATCAAGCCATCATTTTACAATGCGTTAGAAAAAATCAAAATTCGAAGTTTGGGAGATAAGATTAAAGGTTCACATAGCAATAAATCGATTCTCTATTAATGGCTATTATGGGAACATTCTTACCTTTTTCATTAAATTGCTTGCTCTTCTTTGATATTTGAAAAAGAATTATACTATCTAGTTTCACTGGTGCTTGAGCGCCGATTTAAGTGACAACATGTGATACGTTCAATTAAATGAACAATATCCCCCCCGCATTTAAAGAAATTTATCACGTAATGCTACACATAGTTTATAATTTTGTTAAATGGTGAAATATTTCCAATACATTTAACATTAATTTAGGTCAAACTTGCACTAACTTATGTATATAACCAAATATTATAAATTATAAGTAGATTTCAACGATCGAATTGGCAACATTGAAATTGGCAACTGTATGCAGCTTTATTACTGGGAAGTGCATTATTTTCTTCTGAATTCTTATGCATTGCTAATGATCCTTCCACCCTGCTTCTGTGCTCCACTTTCTGACTACCCAACAGAATAAAATGTTTCCTAAAACTTTAAAAAACGAAATGTTGAGAGATTAAATGTGCTTTAGGACCTAGACTGTTGAAGTCTGATCGTAAAAGGATTACATGAAATTTTATAAGCTTGGAAACTGAATTTTTCATTGTCTGTCCCATTTTTTAGGTTACCGAATATGGAAGTAAATTAATTTTGAAATGTCTTAGATATGTCCTTTTGACCACCAATAAAACTCGAACTATTTTAGTGATTTGATGCTGGAGCTCACAGGCCTCAGGTTGGGGTTGATCGGATAATTTTGCATTGCAAATGGATCTGTTCTTCTCCGGCTCACAGCAACCAGATTCATGTCTGGTTAGGACATTTACAATGTTACTCTTCATGGTTTGTTTCAGCAAGATGCTTTCCATGTTGATTCTTTCAAAATCAGCAAGAGTCCTCCTTTGAAAATTAGCTGATTTTAAATCTTAACGTGACATTGCACTATATCATCCATCTCTTTTTGCAACGTAGATTTACACTACAATGCTCTTGGTGGATTTTTCTTCAAGTTCGTTAATTATCTTGGCTTCAGTGGCATCCCTCTTTTGTAAACATCATTTTGCAATCCTTATAAAGGTTCTTGGAGGGTGGACAGGAAAACTGAAGAAATGGATTTCGAGTATTTCTGAGGAACAGCTTGAAAAAAAGCCATTCCCGCAGCTTCCATAGAGGGCCCTAATGTTCACAAATCGCAATATATACCACTTGAAGTATGTACTTCAGTTTTGTATGGCTTACTCTTGAGTTTATTGTCGAAGTTTAAACAAGAAAAGGGAAGATAAACCTTTAGCAATTTATTATGCATTATTTGTTACTGATAAAAACGTTGAAAACTTCACGTTAAAGTTCTAAAATTTTTTAGCAAATTTTTGTACACTTCTTCTAACTTCCCTGCCTGCAAGAAATGTGGAATGTCATATTTCGATTGATTGATTTGATGCATTTAGATGTTTATCGTATAACTTCCATAAACATCAAGAAGCAAAAGTATTATAGTACAAAGATCTATAAGATTTACCCGTATCAAACAACAGGAAATTAAAAATTAACAAAATACATGCTCTGTTTAATGGAGCTGTGATCCCTAAATCTGGCCCCTAATCCCTATACCAAAGTATATTCATACATGAATCAACAAAAGAGTTAAGCCCCTTGTATAGGGGATATTGCCAGAGAGAATGCAAGGAAGATAGGCGGCGCATGTGTATTGGCTGGGACAAAACTGTTATTTGTTCAACGTCCAATGAATTCATACCACCTGTCCCCCTGTAATGTAGCCTGACAATTCTCCTCGTACATGTTAGCACTCAACAAAATTTACATATCACTAACGAAAAACATAATTGTTGCCTCAAAATTCTAAAATAGCCTAGAATACTCAAACTAGCATGGCTTCCAAAAGACAAAGTTCTGAGCAGCAAAACTATAGCAACATAATGAACTTCATATTGCATTTTGAACCTTCTGGTTGTGTTGACATAGTTTGGAGGCAACACTTTCAAATTACTGACAATAAAAGGATGATTCAATAGCATGTCGGCCGTCCATCTGTCACGGTTATACTTTTCCAAGCATCTATTCAAGAAAGCTTTTGCAGTATCTGAAATATTTTCAGGTATTGGATTACCAAATCCAATCTGCTGAAACAAATCTTTATTACTTTGAGAAGTCGACCAGATTGGCTTGTGCATCCCCAAAACTATTGATTTTGGGAAGAATAGAGAAGTGTGCCTCTGTTGTTAATCGATCGTCGAGGAGGAAAGATTTCATCCTCTGCAATTTTCTTGGCCAATCCAAAATCTACTATCTTAAGATTGTGTATAGAAGAAGAATTGTGAATAACTTCTATATTCTGTGATAAATAAAACCGTACAAGAGCCCTCTTTTTATAGGTGAAGTAGGCAAGCACATAAGGTAAATAATTAATGCTAATTACACAAATCATGCTCTAATTATACAATTAAAGAAATCATGGAGATTGGTCAATCAATATAATTAGGGAGATATGCTAACATCCCCCCTCAACTCAAGGTGCTATTGAAGATGCCAACTGGAGTTTGCAAATCAAAGAACGATGGTGACCAGGTGGATGAACCTTTGTGAAGATATCAGCCAACTGATTAGCCGAAGGAACTAAAAAGAGTTGAAGTGTCCCTTCCTGAAGATGATGATGCACAAAATGACAGTCGATCTCAATGTGTTTTGTGCATTCATGAAAGACATCGTTATGAGCAATCTGGATAACACTATGATTGTCACAATAAAGCGAAGTGCTAGAGGACTGAGGAATACCCATATCTTGGAGAAGCCAACGAAGCCAAAGAAGTTCAGAAGTAGTACCAGCAAGGGCTCAATACTCAGCCTCGGTACTAGAGCAAGCAACAACGGTTTGTTTTTGCTCTGCCAAGAGATAAGGAAGTCACCAAGTAAAAAAAGAAAACTAGTGGTAGATCGGCGATCAGTAGGGTCCCCTGCCCAATCAGTATTAGAGTAAACCTTCAACGTCAAGGATGAGTGAGAGGAAAAGTGAAGCCC